GGAAGAAAAGATCAGCATGTCACGCCTTTGGGATTCCACTACAACCTGGAGAGTAAGACAACCTGGAGTTCTGACAGATAAAAAAAAAAGCAGGAATGGCTGCAGTACAGTCTTGCTCTATTAGGCAAATTCATCCAGTTGATGTCTCCCTAGGTTAAAAGAAACAAGTTAACACTGTAGTCATTCCCTCACCCAAACAATACATTAAAAACACATTTTTGGTGCATGACGAGGATCCAAAGTGATTTTAAGTACAAATTCTTTGGTCTACAAATGATCATTCCTGCATGGAAGAAATTACAAACTTAAAACTTAAAAAAAACTGCAGCACTTTCTGCCCTGACAATACTATACAGAATGACATCACCAAAGAAGAAATTTCACCACCACCTGTTTACTGTTCCCCAGTGGGACTGGATCTAAAGGAAGCAAATGATTAAGTCAGTGCTCGAGAGAATCGCTGTTCGGCAACGCCGCTTCACATGTGTGCCATTCGCTGGAGCTCACTCCTCTGAAGAAAGGTAAAAAACAAATGAAGGACTGATGTTAGGTGTGGCACGTTACCTGGCTGAACAACGCATTTCTGGAACCGTCATGAAACCATCTCTCTCTCTCATCAGAAAGATGTTTTTCTTGGTAAGGATGACTGCAACTCCAATCCTGCCACAGAAGCATGAGACATAAGGCTGGACTACACCCTGGACCAGACACACACACACACATGTATATAAGCACACAGGGACAACGTAGAGAAGCTAATTAATCTTGCCAGCATGTCTCTGGAAGGCGAGAGGAGACCACAGCACCTGCTGAAAACCCACGCGAACACAGGGAGAACATGCAAGCACTGCTCAGACGATGGCCAGTCCAAACCCAGGAGCTGTAAGACTGCAGTGCTAACTGCCACACTACTATTAACAGCTAAAAGAAAAAATCATTGTTGGAAAATAACATTCCCCAACCATGAAACTGAAGTAAAATAGATATACTATGGTGAACTGTAGAAAACTATTGTACAACAGGTATTTTTTACCAATCATTTTCCTGTTACAGTACATCTTGTAGAATACTATTAATAATCTACTGCACTAAAGTTTCAAACTCAACCCAGCCTGACATCACAAAAAACTTGCATATAGGTTGCTCTCCTGGAAACAGAGGGTTATGCTATTCTTTCGCCAGCTGCACTGTTCCAGTAAACTGTTAATATAACAATAATAACCTTCTGATATCAGGTTATTTAATACCTTTTGGTTGTGTTCCTTTAACAGTGCTACTGAATGTTAACAATTGTTCCTGGATAAAACAATAACCTACTCTTAGTAAATATTAAGTTACTTTCTATTATAGATTATCAATGCCCACCTGTTTTCAATTAAAAGTCCTAAGAAGCCATCCCAGACAGATGAAAGATCTGGTAAACTTCCAAATGTGTACAAAAAGTGCAGTCATTTCAATATTAGTCTTAGATCTTCTAAAGATGGAACTAGAGCAACCATCCAATACAACAAAATGGAGCAAGCTATAAATTATAAGCCCAGCTTGGGTGTGGTTTAAAAACCACCAAAAAAAACTGCACGACTTCATGAGAAGATTTACTCCATGATAACAGTGTCCGCAAATCCCCCCTTTGTGGACTCTCAGTCACTGAGACACTAGACGTTCCTGAATTAAACAGCTAGAAAATTCCCAGGCTTCCCATGATAGAGGCTGAGTTTGGGAAATGGATCCATTAGTGAGTGAACTAAAACAATTCTGCTGTTTAAGTTGATTCCTTGAAATGACTAGATGAATATAGAGACACACATGTATAGCTTAGGAACCACATAGCATGAATCCAGCTAAAAAAAAAAAAAAAGAGGCTGAAATTAAAAGCAACAGTTTGCTGTATATACAGTTTAAAATATACAGTATGCCTACTGACGCTCCACAGGTTGGAAGACAGGCCTAACTCTTGGGCTGAACTGGTTCATTCATGCTTATGTAAAATCCTGCTCTTTATCTGCAGAAGCAAAGAAGTTGAACTAATCTTTTCAGAACACTAAGTCTAAGGCTTGTATGGGCTTTATTATAGTAAGTCAAGAGGCATGGCTGTCGGGAAGCACAAACAATTAAACTGCCCGTAGTTTTGGGCCCCTCAACTGAGTCAATGTTGAAGCTCACGAACAGCAATTAGGAAGAGAAAGGCTGTGAAAAGTCATGCCATTTGCTTGCTTTTCCAAACTTGCCTTTTGTGGGTCCCTTCCTAACATTAGGCATTCATTGATATTTAAGTACTTTGGTCACAAGGCAGTATATTTTGGAGTTGATCAAACCAACAATGTGGCAATATCTACATAATAAGCCATCAAACAAAAGACCCTGCAGCATTTCTTGGCTTGGATACCATGCAATTTATGCCTCCCTGCAGTAGCTACATTAATCTTATATTCCCGCAATGCTTAGCATATTGTATAAAGTAGTGTTATTCCCCGAGTGCACTTAAAAGTTCACAGAATGATAGCTATCCAATATTTTTAAAGAGGTAAAGGCATTTTCCAACAGATATCGCAGACAAGACGGTAACAAACGAGAAACACTACAGTTGCTGGTCTACTACATAGACGATACGGAACAAGGGACTTTCCTCTCTCCACAGAAACTTCAGGAAATTAAGACCCGTATGCTCATGAGTTTCAGACCTCTGGGCTTTTATGTTAATCATCATTTTCTGGACAGCTATTAAAGACAAAGACTGTCGGTTTTACAACAGGGGAGTTGTTTCCTCCCCTATCCGGACGCCCCAGCGAGTTTATAATGAATTGCTGTATTGAGTCGGTGAGGCACATCACTAGAAGACAATGCAAATATTTCTAACCAATGCCACGATCGTTAAGACGCTGTTTTAATGCATTGAGCAAAATAGTCATACATTTATTAAAATAACCGATTTTCTGAAAGCCAGTTTCCAAACGTAGGAGAGAGAGTCTCCTGTTGAATAAAAAAAAAACCTTTCAGCCACTCATGCATTTGATCCGCTCTGTCTGGATTTAAAAAAAATTATAGTAGCAGCGAGATTCATCAGATTTTGCCGTAGGTGCTAATAATATAGGGGGGTGGGGGGGAGATTTTAAAGATTTTATGTCTTCCACCTGTTGATGTCCAAAGGGGATTTGTACATCCGAACATGCACCTAATTTTTTCGGCAAAGCTTTTTTTTCTCGAATATTTACAGTATGCACAACCAATATCACGATCTTACTGTTTACAAGTGCAGCTATGACTAAGCCGGAGCGCTGTTTTCACGCCGTCTTTCTGTTCAAAGCAAACACTGCCCTCTTAGTTCCCAAGCCTGCTACGTTCAAACAGGATCTCCAGAAGGAAGCGTTTCAGAGATGGCACTGAGGGCTAAAACCTTCACGTCGTCTCCGATATCAAAACCAGTCATTCAAATACCCCGTTTCCATCAAACAAGCCTGTGTAAGACGCGTCAAGAATAAGCAGATGGCACAATTCGGGGTCTTTAACTCCAATAACGCGACTGTTAACGCAAATTTTAAAGCCGCGATTAATTTGACAAATTTGCTTAAAAAACGTTCAGCTGTGCAGTTTCCTTTAGATGAGAACTTTTCAGTTTTCGCACGATATAAAATATCTTAACCACTTTCCCCCCTCATGAGTCGTTATTCGTGTTCGCTACATACTGCCGCTCAACGAAGTTTAGCAGAGACTGCGTCTATTTAAACCGGTGATGCATTTGAAAAAACCACGTTACTTGGGGGAAAAAAAAAAAACAACAGCACAACCACACACACATGTAACCGGCACAGACCCACTACACAGCTGTGCAATTATGAGGCACGCCGGAGTTTTCAGCCGCATTTCGCAAGAACCAGACGAGCAAATCAAAGCACGGGAAAACAGCGTGTGTAGTTTGCAGAGCGATTTCACGGCTACGAAGCACGCTTGCATAGGTTTCATCCCCCTATAGCGGCACAACCCTTTAATTATGCAGAAGAAGTAGCGAATAGTTTCCGGAACTCTAATAATAACAACAACAAAAACAAATCCAGGCAGAAAGTGGAAACAACAAAGCCCGGAGGGCACTTAAAACTAATTCAGACGACGCCTTTTCCACGTAAACCCCCCCCTTAACATGCCCAAAAGCCACCCGCCAAAACACCGCCGCACAGAGCTACAGCACATTACAGACCGGCGGTACAAGAGCAGGATACGGCGCACCGACCTACTGCGACGCGAAAACAGGGTTATTTGTCCGCTAAAGCCACTTGCAAGTCTCCCCGAAGAGACTACCGCATCCCCTTTCCCCGTCTGTGCTGCCTGTTTTCGGAGCACAACCATTAATTCATCCCCTAACCTGCGCTCTCCGCCAATAGTTACATCAATCACCCGTTATCTCCAGTCCCCCGCAAAACAGCCTACACGGAACCAAAACCAGGTCTTATTCGGTGTTTTTTTTTTTAAAAAAAAGAGAGGGGGTAAAAAAAAAAGAGGTCCTAGTCATTTTTTCTCTCCTAACACGCAATGAGAAAAAAAAAACCCAACACTTTCTAAAATGTTTGCCCGAAGAGCGAGGTAGGCACTTGGCTAGTACACTTGTTTGCTGGAGCAGTGATTGGAGTTGGAAACATCTGCATGAATCTGCGACTGTAGCGAGCCTGCCAGCACCGAGGACAGGCAAATCGCGCAACTTCTCAACTCTCACATTCATGCACGTATATATTTCTATTTTTTTGGGCTCGCAACACCGTAATCCCACTTCGGACGCAGCGATCTCACTCAGTTTTTCTTTATTTTACTTATCCATCCCGATCCAGAACACGGTTCTAAACATCCCAGAAATTGACTGTTTTTCTTTCCCGTTTTTTTTTTAAAACTGATACTTTTGCCATTCCTTTGCTTTTCCACAAACCGCAGAGAGCTCCGACTGGAAAGAAATTCCATGCTCTCTTTTTTATTTTTCTGGGGTGGGGACGGGGGGGCGCAGTTCGGGTTCCTACCTTTGAGAAGAAAAGCTGCCGAAACCAAGAATAAAGCCAGAGATGTAGGGAGAGATCCGTTCCCCGTGATCGCCATGTTGGACACCTGCTTCAGTCTGGCGGCGCTACTTCACCTAGAGACAACGGGCGAGAGATAATGAGATGAAAAGGGGAGGGAGCACAGATCTAATATGTTAAAGAGGAGGAGTGGTTTTATTTGAGGAGGGGGTTCGTTCCTCACTTTTTAGAAAGGCGTGATTTTGCAGGGTCTGCAAAGCTGTGGAAGGAAGGAGGAGGCGGAGGTGGGGTTGTCTTTTTAAAAATGAACACATAAAATCAACAGGTTCTGTTATTTTATTTTTTTTACATCCCAATGATCTGATCTGGATTAATCCTCCTCCCCCATGCGCTCTAGGAAGATGCACGTCTTTTTGAGTTTGGAAAATTGTCAACCACCTGCCTTTAGATTTTAGAAATTATGCAATACGAATGCTTCATATTTTGTAGCCCTGAAGCGGGCAAGAATCCAGTAACCTGCTAAAAAGAGATTAATAAAATATATGATTACTTGTTCGGCTTAATCTGACCATTCAATTGATTTTATTATACAATACTTACATATATCGCTTAACAGACACTGAGCCTATACGCAAGTATATCCTCCCTTAGATTGTGAAAAAAAAAACCATTAATCTTTAAAGAATAATTGCCAACATCAATAACAGCTGTTGCAATGAATCACGTTAAGTGAAATCACAGCTGACCGTGATGTTCCAGCTTTGCAAAAGATTTTTTAAAAACCGCTATGATTTTTATCACGCTTTTATGTAGAATGTGCATAGTCACAAACCATAAAAGCACATAATGAAAGGTATCTACAGTCACGCTTCAAGTATAGAGATAAAAACTCTTAACTATCCGTTTTAGCAAACCCTTTAGTTCGCTGGACCTGACAGGACGCAGTGAGATGAAGATATGGCGCCCCTAGTGGATGAACTGTAGAAAAAAGCCAGGCTGCAGGAGAAATGTTACTCTTAAGGTTTTAATGTTAATATAAACATGTAGGATCGGATAGTATTTCTTCCCATAATGATTGCGCAGATATTTGAAAACAAAAGTACTTAATCCTCAAACCAAGCGAAGAGGAACTGACTCCATGTTTGTAAACGCTATCAAAATATTTTCTCTTCTTGGCGTTATATAAAGCCCAACTCTTACGGTTGTCAATATTACTAGTAAACACATTGTTCCTATCCGGAGCGCAAGTTTGTAAACATTTTCTGTTCTGGAAAAAATACATAGATGCCTTAGTAGCAGAAGAAAAGGGTATTCCAACTTAATTTTAAAACATTTTGATTCTCTTGATAGACAAAACATGTTTACTTATACAATAGTTAGTGTTACTTATTCAGTTCGTTATTTCTGAACGCAGTGAAAAACCGCTGAGGTACCCTTAAAGCAGACCCGCTATTTATGTTCTGACACATTTCGCCAGCATTTGGAAAGGGTAGTACTAATTCCTCTGAGCAAAAACGAGTTATTGTAATAGGCCACAAAATTGAAAAGGAAATTGTGTATGATTTATATTCTAAATATAAATGCCATTTATTTGTGGCAAGAAGCTTGAAAACGCAGTTGCTTTTTTTGTTTGTTTTTATCGCACTGCAAACAGTCATTTATCAACCGAGACACATTCCAGGCAGATTTTAGTAAAACGTAAGTGCATCTCATGAGCTACTGGTTTTCCCTTTTGAAGCACATCTCCTTACAAATTCAAGTCTTTATGTCTTAGTGTTACAAGTCACAGGGATGTGAAGGATACCTATATAGTAATAAGGGATTACTGTATAGGCTCTGAACCTTCAGATCACTGCTCAGTTGTTAATTACTGGTCAGTTTTGTCAGACCTTCTGTATGCACTATGAGCTGTTCGATAACAGCATAGCAGCCTTCCTGCTCAGTTGGGCTTTAGGGTGTCTGCCCATATAATGGATCACATAAAACTCAGTTATTGGGTCATCCAGTAATAAGATTAAATACTACAAAAACCTCCTAAAACAAGCACTGTAAAATATTTTATTGGAAAGAAGGAAACATCAAAAGGAAGATGCATCACACAGTCAATGGTATTCCCTCCAATTTCCAGAATGCCACAGGGACTACTGGGAGATTGGCATTCCGAGACCAGAATTGACAGCCTGGGACGTTCAAAGACAGCAGGTCGACAAGGAACAGCCCTGTTTAGATTTTTAACCAAACAGTTTCAGCTCTGTTTACTTATTTATGGGGACATGCAAGGGGAGATGAAAACCTGTCTCATTACAAGCATAGAGTATGGAAAGAAAATCGAATTTAAAAAAAGTGACTTGACAGGTGGTGAGTCAATAAAATAAGAAATGTAGACAGGTCCGCAGAACTACAAGTAGCAGAGAGCACCATGGATTAGCACAGGGTAGACTGGTACACAATTCAACATGCAAAACTTTGTACAGTTCTCAGCTTGTGCAATTCTTACTCACTCCTTTATCTCCAACCACAACAGCGGCTGAAATAATGTTTTCCCCTTATTGTTGAAATGCCTCCGATCCGAGGCATGTAGTTTCCATGAGAACATCTATGGAGCATGCCTGGAAAAGCATGGAAACCCCAGCCAAGTGCATTGTTAACTAAAGCTGGTTTACTTTAATTGGGTACATCAAGTGTAGGAACCAAGACTCAGTCTTCAGTCATAACAGATGGAATCTTAAAAGCATTTACTGTACAGCACATTAGTGTTGTCAATTAAATGTTTCACTTGGGAATTTTCTGATTACATACCTAATACTTCTCAGGCTTGTTAATACCCAACCATATTGTGAGCATTTCCCTCACTTACATAAACTTTCATAGGGCCTAATGTACCGCAGACCCCCCCCCCCCAAAAAAAAATCTTATTGTTTGCAGATTATCCATTTTGAGATCCCCCAAAATGGGAAATGGGAGCCACATCTCCTCTGGAACTCAAGAACACCAATTTACATTAGATGTAGACTCATCACATAATAAAAATTAAATCCAAGCCTCCGCATTGAGCCATTAAACAAGTCAAAACCCATCCAACTGTTCCCACATACAATTGTGATCCATCTGGGTAGATCAGACCTGAAAAATACAAGCCTGGTGATTAAATTGTAATGACAGTGCCACCACACTTAAAAGTTTTGACAAATTCAGAACTTAAAATTGATACTTGCTTCACTGAGCATCTAACAACCAGTTGGGTGTGATTAACCAAATAGCACTTTGTGCCTCTTAAAAAAAAAAATAAAAAAAAATAGAGTTTTAAAATGTAGTCAAAACATGAATAACCCTTATTATATCAGGTGTAACCAGGTCGCAATGTCAGGGGATGCGTTTTCAATGCAGATTAACCTTATGTGCATGTGAACAAGTAATAGGTTTATTCCATGCTGAAAAAAAGAAGAAAGAGAACACAACGTTTCGGCCGTGGAGCCTTCTTCAGGTGTCACACCTGAAGAAGGCTCCACGGCCGAAACGTTGTGTTCTCTTTCTTCTTTTTTTCCAGCATGGAATAAACCTATTACTTGTTCCTTTGCAGCCTACGCATGCTGACGCAGCTACCCACCTGAACTACTTATGTGCATGTGCCCTGTAACAGACTTACATCCCATCCAGGATAGATCTAGCCTTGTGTCCATTGTTTATCAAGAGAAACCAGCCCCCTCATGACTTTGTATTGGATAAAGCAGTTGTCACTTTCCTCAAAGGCCGATAGTTAAAAGTACGGAACTGAATTCCCCCCCACAAGAGAGAAAAGTAGTTAATGGACTTTTAAATTCAGAAGTCTGCAAAAAACTGTTGAAGTTTGACAAGTTAAACGACATTGTGTTGTGCTTTAACTCTTCATGAAGTCAACTGGTAAAATAAAACCGCACAAAAGAAAGCGTTGTTGCAGCACTACCTGTGGAGGCCACCATTCTCCTCTTTTGGAGGCTGGAACTTGTGGTTTGAAGATATACCAATAATCACAAGGTCCGATCAAAGGCAAAATTGGATTTTCCACAGATCTCTTCCGACAACGTCGTTATGTACCGTATATGCTATAAAACAAAGGAGTAGAAATGGAAGTTTTAAATACCCAAAGTCAAGTTCTCATTTGCAAACCCAACATTTTTCCCCTCAAGAGAAGTGTGGAACCCATGAGAGTGAGCACCTTTGTTTATTTGTAGAGAATTCAATACAGTGACTATATTTGAGCCTCTAAAAGACCAAAAATACTAAAAAGATGCACTGATTAAGCCTTGCGAGTTCTATTCCCCCCCCGGGTGAAACTCAGAATTGAGTTGCAACAAACCGGCTAATGATTTTTGCATTTCCTATTGTCATGAATCCTCTGGCAATATGAGCTTATTCAAAGAAATCTCACCTAAGGGTCCCGATTTCATACACTTAAGAATAGTTGAGGTGAAATGCAAGAAGTTTATTCTTTAGTGACCGGCAGCAAGACACTTTGAGGCCTTTCACCTAGAAAGGAAGATGTAGTACAGAAACACTACTTGCCATATTTAAAAACATTGGCATTTTTAAATCCATTTAGGAAAGCAAGTCTCTGCTTGTGATCTGCAGTAAGACCAGCACAAATTCCAAATCTGATGCACTGTTTCTCACTGTAATGAGAAATGGAATGTAAACTCCCAGGATGAAATATTTAAGTTACAGATTAGTTGTAATAAATTGTGCATTTCTAGACCTTGACTTAACAGACAAGGTCAGCAATTTCCTTGGCAAAGGTGCTGGGAATGACATACTACAAATCTCACGACAGCTTTCAGTGAATGAAGATCAGCGAGTACTTCAGTCTTCCTGCAAGCTGCCACTTCCCCAGTTTCAAAAGGCGATGGCCTTAAACACCAGCGTAAATAAATAACAGGTCAGTGTAGTATTTTAAAAATACAATAACATACTTGAGCCATCACAGGCACTACAGAAAGCTATATTGTAGATCAATATTTTCCACACAAAACAAAAATGAGCAAGAAAAAGGTCAGCCTCCCTTTTATTCACCACATTCCTGTGCCTTTAAACCCTGGGAAAAAAAAAAATGCAACAATAGTCTGTCAAAATAGGGGAAACTCCTGATCCATGCTGACTCACATTGCAATACAATGAATATTTAATCCACTGGAAAATTTAACAAAGTTAATGCAATGCAGCAGCCGTAATAAAAACATGCTCCAACTAGACTTAAAATAGGGGAGAAACAGCCATGATGGGTTTGAGCTCAAGACTACTGCAGAAGTTTATCTAATGAATGGAACCTCTAATAAGTACATTAGACATTTTCTAGAGGAAAATGTGGAATAGCATATTGCAAGACCAATCACAATCCAGTCCAAAAGGTACTTAGAACTATGATCAACAATTTCCATGGCTTAGGTATCAATTGGATGTGGTGGGGCAACATCACAAAAGGTAATTATGATCAAATAAACTGGGCACCATACCCTCCTCACTCCAGAGGTAGGGAATGGACAATGTAATTCACAAACACTGGACAAAATGGTTGCCAGTGGGTTATTGTAGCTGTAGTCCTGGATAGATCTCACCAGAAATGCAGTTTAAACACCTCTAGTGAAGCCAATCGACTTCTCAGCAGTGAACCAATCCCAGCCAAAGGAACAATACAGCAATGTGCTCCAGCAAATAAGGACAATGCAATCATATGGCCAAACTCAGTTTATGCATGAAGAGCTTTCTGGTAAATGCTTTTTTATTACTAGTATGTTTGAGACAGTCTCCGACACCTCAAAACATGCCATTTAGCCCTTGAATGCTTGAGCATGTTAATCCTCTAAAGCATAGTCTTAATTTATACCCTGATAAGCATAGGGTATAAAGCAACTCACCCCACTTTACACAGGTTCTTAAAGGACACTGATCTGAGCAGCACATCTTGGGTGGAGGGAAGAAACTAGAACACAGAGAAAAGCCATGTGGATACTATGAGGAGGATGCAAAACAAGATACCCAAGTCAGCATTCAGGAGCAAAGAGTGGAAGACTAATTACTACACTAATTACTGCACCAGTGTGCTTCCCCAATAACTTCTCATTTAATCAATATTAAGTATTATTTCTGTCCCCATTCAACCTATTGAAGTTGTAGAAGACTCCTGTATTTGTGTGACAATTTCTCCTTCAATACATTGCACAAAATCACCCACAAAGTATTTCAAGTTATAGCTGTTATTACAGGTTGTAACATGCCAATGGGTATGTCACAACAGGAACCCTTTTAAAAAAATGCAGGCCCAGGCCAACCAACACACCCCCATAATGTTTAAACACCCTAATGCAACTTATAGTGCAGAGTACTCAAAAGAAAACCCTAAGCTCTTCATTGAGATCCTGCCTAAACATTTCCTGAAGTTCCTATCTAACAAAAGCCAAGCAGCTACACTGCTTATCAGCCTCAAACTTCCTACAATCTTCTCCCTCCTAGAATCTAAACTCACAGTTCCTTGGCCAGCCTTCCTCTGGGGAGTGCTATCCACACAGAACATCTTACCCTCCATTCCTCCTCTCAGACTGACTCTAGAAGCCTCTTCTTCCTGTTCCTTTAAAGAGTCAACTGACCAATTGGATTCCTGCATCTGGTCAGGTGACTAAGCAGCTGCTCATTTCCCCCCAGAGGAATCTGTGAAATGTGGTCAAACCAGGGCTGTGCTCTTCCCAGGGTGCAAATATAATATTACAATTAGACTCGGGACTAGATATAGTCAAGGTCTTAAGATCAACAGTATGGATTGGTATTTGTTTTCTTCAGTGACACAAAGGATTTCAGTCCTAAATATTTCAAACTTATGCCTTGGGGGATAAGTTTCTTTTCTTGACTACTATAAAGCTGAAAAGTTGGTACTATTAATGTTTCATTGTAGACGCTGTCCTTTGTCTTCAGCTGAACTTTGGCAGGGTGGCATGGTGGTGCAGTGGTAAGCATTGCTGTATTGTGCTGGAAACCTAGGTTTAATTCTGTAGTGCAATCTGTGTGGAGTTTGCATGTTCTTCCTGTGTTTGTGTGAGTTTCTCCTGGGTGCTCTAGTTTCCTCCCACGGTCCACAAAAAACAACAGAAACTGGTAGACTCATGGACTTCTGGGAAAACTATCCCTGGTTTGAGTGTGTTTATGTATGTCTGCCCTGTGATGGACTGGTGTCCTGTCCAGGGTGTACCCTGTCTTGTGCCCATAGCTTACTGGGATAGACACTGGCTCCCCTGCGACCCTGAATTGGAAAAAGTGGTTAGGAAATGGGTGGATGGAGGACCTTTGTCACCTTCTTTGAGAAGCAGTGAATTTTTTACATTTCAAGCCGCAGAATTTTCTCTTTGTACGTCTTGGCAACTGGATGCACGAACTGTAGCTATGTGTATTTTCCTAAGATGAGTCATTGCATGTTGGCCAGCATCCACAGATGCCCTCCTGTTCATGTATCACTTGGCTGTTCTCTGATGAATAGATGTTCCACGTTTTGCCAAATCATTCTGTGTTTTCTTGGCTATTTATGTATGGATTTTATAGACCTTCCGAACAATTAGTTTTGATACTTCTTGATCTACATAACAATCATTTGTTAATTGTATTAATCGTATAAATGGGTGTTTATACAGGTACTTGTGTGAATACAATTTCTATTTGCCGTGTATGTATACAGTATGTATGTGTTTTTACTGTTCCTATGAATGCATCAATGCATGTGTGAGTTTCTAAAATAAAAAAGAGAAGCCGGAATGATGACGATGATGAAGAAAAAAGCATGACAAAAGATGCACAAAACAAAAGTGACAAGCAAACAGTAGATTAGAATGATGGCTAGTTCAGTTCCAAATCTATCACTATTGCAAAGAAGAAATTAAAATGTGGGGGACTGCTTATCAATGTAATTATGTTGACTTTATAATGTAAATGAATTGGACGCTTTTTCAAATTGACTAGCAGTTTAAGCCAGGGTTGCAAATTGCTATGGTAATCCAGGTAGCTCTCCCCTTGTGTGGCTCATTATGCAAATTTGCTGCGAAGGCTCATGGGGTAAGTGCTTTGATTTTATGGAGATGAAGAGGAATTAAAGAGAAGTTTATACAAGCTTCACATTCCAATCATATATCTCAATGCCTATACAGAGTCTTGAGTCTGACTTTCTACACCAAACAGCATCTGAATTCATCCATAATATTTACTCAGGTTTGGCATGTAATATAGGAATAATAACCTCTAATGACAGAAGCGCTCACTATGATGAACTCAAAAATTGGTGCTTTACTCCCTGTAGTCCATTCCTTTGCATACTCAGATTCTTAAACGGTGCCTAAATCAGAATTTCAAATGTGCTTTCCTTGGTTTAGTTGGAATATGATGCATCGTGATGCTTTTAATGTGCTGAAAAATCTAATGCAACTGTTAGATTCGCTCATTAATAAAATAAACTCAGAATGGAGTCAAGGCTGTTAGAGAGAATCTGCTGATTTTATCCTGCTCGCTCACAGAAACAATGGCAGACAGACCTGACAGACTTTGCAAGAGATTTGCTCCTTTGTTATTATTTTCGATGACCTGTTATGGAGTACACTGATGTGCAAATATCTTATGCAACTCCACACAGAAGAACTGATAAAATATCACTCTGTTATTGAACTAATAATAAATCACTTAATTGGATCAATACGTTAAAAATATTTCATATACTGTAGGTGCATATTCTTTTTTAAGAAACACCCCTATCTGAAATTGTCAACTGGTTCTTTACATCTTGGCTCAGAGTAATATCTCCAGTGCTGTAGAGGAAACACAAGCATGGGGAGACTAATACCACTGACCCATTCACCCATAAACTCATTCATCTTTTCACAGGCTCCAAGCTGCAGGTGCCTCACAGCGTGTTTTAGCCCCAATTGGCAGAGAGCAGCAGCATTTTCCTCACCGATGTTGCTACAAGCCTGCGAGCATTCGGCAAAATTGAGAAATTCACTGTTTGCACTGATTTCAGTGGAACTTTGCCACTGGGCAATGCTCCTTATGGCTTACTAGTGCCATGACCTGCGTTTAATTTTGTTGAGTGTGCTCTCTGGGTTTTCTAAGCACAGCACCGAAACTGAAAAATCTAACATGCATGTTTGCAATTTAAAAACATAGTAAAAGGCAGACTTGAAGCAGAAAAATGGAATAGGGTGTTGAACCTCGTTCCCTTCTGTTCCATACAGTATGTAAAAAAACAGTGAAGTACATGCTGGAAAAAGTTTGATGAACATGCATGCGTCAAGCATGCATTTAGCCCCATCTAGTAGAAAGCTAATGGGGGACACTTCAGTGCAAGATTGATCCAGTGATCAATCTGAACAAATATCCACCACAGCAAGAGTTTTGTTGTGTACCTCTTACTATGAACCCGCTTATGAGTATGAACATGAAACTGTAAGGAATTGAATGAAGTGATATGGGACAGCATTCCTTGATGCATGCTCAAAGATTGAACAGTACATTTCCTCAGAAATGAGGAGGAAATTGTTTGAGAAAACAGTACAGTGCAATCCTATAACAAAGTTAATTGTAGATGAAGCTACTAGTTTAAACAACAAATGTGTCTTCCCTACCTGATTTTATGAAAAGCCAGTGAAAAAGGAGTAAAGTTTAACATAACAATAATTTCTTAATACACTTAGACTTGGGCTGTATATTTAACACACATGGCTGTGATCTGCCTCTGCTGTGATTTGATCACAGTCTGTTGCATTCAGAGCCACACACTGCTGCTTCACAGACAGCAGCAAACTCCAATGAACCAGAAAACATGCTCTGTGAGTGTGGCATAATTCAACACAGACTAGGTTTCCAGAAAGGGACATCATTTCTACATCACGTTCACTGTCCTGTGCCCCATTACATAAACAGTATAATACTGGCTAGTGGAAGACCATACAGCTATTGAAACCCTACAGAGTTCATTGGAGTGGAAATGTTCCAAAAAAAATAATGGTTTCTAAGTTACCATTTTTGAGACACGTACTGTACAGAACATTTCACAATTGATGCACATGTCACGATTAAGCATTTCAGTAATTCTTTTGCCTCTCATACAACTCCTCATTGAGATCCGGCAGCTCTTGATTGACAAACTAAGTGCTGGCAATGACCCAGTCTTGATCACACATGTGACTTTGGGCCTTAGGGCACGATCTGCACTAGAAGCAGGTATATTTACTGCTCAAGCCACTGAGGACCTGCCACATCTGTGTCTTCTTGTCATTTCATTCTTCTCTTTCTGCATGTGGAATAATACATTATCTGCATAATTAATCTTTTGTTCTTTTGGATACTGCCTATTCTTATACATCATTTATACATGGTACGATATCATAGGTGCTCAGCCTACTCTACTCTGAGGATCTACTCTGCATCCTGTTTGTCAATATTTTTGAAAAAATGTGTTGGTGTTAGAATAGTGTGCCTGTCAAATCGTCACATTAGGGAAGCAAAGAGAACGATGCTTTGCAAATCATTTAATAGCAGAACATACGAATATGTGAATATTCTTAACTACTTCTTTCAGGTTTTCTTCAATTAACTCTTCTTGGCTGAAAACTACCTTAACTAGCCAAACTAAGAGTGGCCTCTGTCTGTGTGCAACACAAGAGTTCCGAATAAACAGACCCATTTCCATGGAGTCTCCCAGTTGGGTAGTGACATTCAGGCAAAGACTGAGACATGAATTTTAAGGAGCTTTCAAAGCAACTCAGGATAAAGCCGTATAAAAGCACAGATCAGATCAACATTTCAAAGACCCTTAATACCTCTTTGAGCATGGTGATGCTGATGATTAACAAGTGGACGGCACCCAGGCACAGGCTATATCGGGCACTGAGCAGCAGAACTGAGCAGACAGGTAAAGAGGAAACTGGTTAGGGGTGATACTGGGAGGCCAACAGTGACTTTGAAAGAGTCCTGTGGCTGAGATGGGAGAAGCATGACATCCAACACAAACCCAGCATAGTATATCTGTCACGGATAGGGTGATCCCCCAATTCAGGAACTACTTCTGCTTCGTGCAGAAGGTGACAGTACCTTTCTTCCCTTGCCACAGGTTATTTCATCAACCAGAACTTCCAGTACGCCCACAGAGCAGACCTGACTGTTAGTATTGCTTAAGGGCCCTTTTTATTCACTTGCAATTACAACTCACGGTCTCCCCAACACACAGAGCCCATGACAAAAAAAACTTCCTCCAAGGGGCACACATTCCAGACCAGCGACCCCAGTTACCAGAACAAATGTCCAGAGAGAATGCAGTCCAGCAGTTCTGTCTCCCATGTAGCTCCTTCGGTGGCTCCAAAACAATGTGTTCCCGCCTTCTACCCTGTTCCTCTCAAAACTCCAGTTTTGGGTAGAGGAGGGAGAAAGAAGATGCTGGATTTTTCTTTGCTCTCACTCCCTGGTGTGCAAGGCAATTCCTCTCCTGGGTCCAATCAATCTCTCACACAATCCTTCCTTCTCCAAAGTCCCGTGTTTTCTGAGTAGAACTTTTTTTTTT